GGGAAGGCAGCTAGTCATCACCACCCACCGCCAACTCTTGGGCTACTCTTTTTACCAACGAATAGTGGGATTGACCGTCACATTATAACGGCTGAAAGGGCGAGCACGTTTGGTGGGACGGGGATTCGAACCCGCAATCCTCAGATTGTGAGTCGAGCGCGCCCTAACCACCTGGCCATGCCGGGCCATTTGTATCAGAATACATTAGGTTTCATTCACTCACCAGTAATAGTTCTGCTGCTAACAGTACCATAGTTCCTGCTCGATATCCGATGTTTTCAAACACGAAACCTCCAAAAGAGGGACCTATAGTAGCACTAATAAAAAAAAAACAACTGAAACTCAGTGTTTTTACTTTTGGAACAGAGAATGTCGTACATGATATAAAATGTTGACAACTAGTAATATATATATATATATATATCAGTGCATTTGAGATTGTAAACCAGTGTGACAATATTAACTGTGTAGTTTCATTATCTTATAAGTGATACAGGTATACAGGGTATCCGTAAATTATCTGACCTATTTTAAAAAATTAACATCAGAAATGTTATACATAGAATACTCCGGTTTTATTTTACTTGACAAAAAACTCAGTTTTTTTTTATTGTCTTTAATATAGTTCCACATGTGCACCGTTTGTTGCTCGAAAAATGTCTAGGCGATACTCTTATCTCCCTCCAGGTGTTGTTCAGTATTTCGGGAGTCACATTCTTTATTACGTCGAATATTCCGTGGCTAAGATCCACGATATCACGCACAGGTGTCGAATACACCTGATCTTTCACAAGGAAAAATACAACGGGGTTATGATACGTGTGGGTCATCGTGATGTTCCATCTGGCTGGGAATGTGTTATTCAGGAACTCCCGGACTTCGAGACTCCAGTGTGGTGGAGCAAAAGAAAATAGTAAAAAAAAAAACTTTATGAATTGTTCGTCAAGTTAAATAAAACCAGAGTGTTCTGTTTATAATATTGTCAAAGTTATTAATTTTAAAATGTGTCAGATAATTTATGAACCCCCCATATATGTAAACAGACAGACACACAAACATACATATATATATATTGAAATTGTACCTCTGCAACAGACTAGTGAAAAGGCTGCTTACGGATGTTACTTGGTAGGGGCGATCCCCCCCTCCCCTAAAAAAACAACAACAACAAACAAACCTCATCTCACAATGTTGTTTGAAACTGTACATCTGTAACAGACCAGTGCTTTTATTGCAGTATTAAGTGCAGGCAGGATGAAAACTAAGGTATGCGGGTTAATACCCACTATACGTTATAGCAATAGCGTTTTTGATTTTCGAATACAAGCACGTTTTTCAGTGAGTCTGCTTTTAACTTCCAATCAGTGAAGTGATACTTAAGTTTATTCGTATGCCATTCCACAGATAGTTGCAACAAATAAATGTTGCCTCTTTGGTGCAGAGAAATGGTATAGATATAGCCAGATAAAGGTAACTGATAGGTTTTTGTCTTAATCAATTACTTTATTAAGTGTTTAAAAAGTTTTCGTCTCATTATGACTTTTCAAGCACAGTCAGTCGCTGAGCGGCGAATGTTTCGGTTTGGGTTCAAGTAACAAACTAACAATTTGCTGTTTCCCAAATATTAAGTGGGGTGAAGACCTTGCATCCTAATCCTGGCTGAGATCCCATATCTTCCCTCCGGCGGAGCCCCTATTTCCTTACCCTGGCTGAGACACTGGTATAAACTGTCAAAGAGTGCACAGGCGGGGATAATCACCTATCACATACGATTCCACAAAGCAGTAAAAATACATTAAAAAAGTATTATAAAAGTTCTCATGTAGTATGTAATGTGCATGTGTTAGTTTAACTCTTTGTAGTATACTAATTTATTCTAGAGTAGCACATGTTTAGGTTTCATACATACTCACCTAGTGCCTTACGATATACAGCCCGGAACGCCAACCACTATACTCATAAACAGCGAGTGAGTCTTTTGTTAGGGTAAGGTATTTGTCACGTGTTGAGGGTTACACAGTTACTCCTAAATTAATATAATCTCCTCAGTCACTTACATACACAATTTTTGTCTCTCTCGCCACAAATAATGTATAATATTTCAGAATTGGTAAGAATAATGGGCAGTTTATTTGGGGAGGTTAAGCCACTGACTACGCCATATCTGACCCGTTAGGCTAACGCGTTATTTTGGTTATATTTTAATATTATTTAGTCAGTTACAGTTGAGAGTGAGATTACTTTCGTCTGCACATTAAAAAACTTTAAGAAGTAGTAGTCATCAATAAATATCTAATTTTTGTTTATATATATAAACACATGGCTATTCTATCAATCTGAAAAACTAGTTAGAATCCCGGTACGTGACAGCATGATATCAGAAACATGATATAAAACTTTAAAACAAAAGTGAAACTAGCTATTCAGAGACTCAAATTGTTAAGCCTAACCTGACCCTTTGTTCTATAATCCTACTTTACAAGATAGTTCCATGAATTTCAGTTATCTTAATGCACAATTAAAATAAAACCGTCGCCGTTCCACACCGTTAACTAAACAGAATTATTCTATAACTAGCGAAAGTAACCGGCTTCGCATGGGTTATTAAGTTGATATATTTTAGCAAGTGCGTAAAGGCTGTTGTTAGATTACTTTTATTATATCGATAATAATAAAAGGGCGTGTCTGTGTGACCGCCATAACTCCTAGAGAAAAGAACCTAGATACCTGAAAGTTTGCGCCCGTATTAAGTGGACCCTGAGGGTGTTCACTTGGGTATTATTAACTTATCCACGTGCGTCTTCGCACCTCATAGTATACCCGGTAGTATATCAGTTAGGTTAAGAACTTCTAACATACAGAAAACCCACTGCCTTTTGGTAACACTACGTTCCAACAATGGCTTTTATGTCATGTTGCTTAGCAATAAAAGTATAACCTAATATTGTTGTTAATCTATGCACTGAAAGTATGAAATGTATAAACAACAAAACTGGATTAAAGAGGTTTGTTTTTTCATGAACAACGTTGGTGATATTGCAGAAAACACCTTAATTCGGAAACGATTTAAGTTTAAAAGTGAATCGATATTTTTACTTTCATGATAAATTGATCGGAAATTAGTTTCTAACACATATGGTAAAAAACGTAGGTACTTTAACACGTTTTGTCTTTCTTTTTACAGATACCTTAACCTACAAACTGACCCAAAATAACATGATTCTGATTCATCCTAAATGTACATCTTTTTATTTTAACATTATACAGCAATTGTCACGGTGAAATAAATATATTCGAACGGACGTTTTTCCTTTTGAGCTTACAATTTATAATCTGTATAGAGACTTATTTCAGAAAAGAAGTTTATTTTATACATTTTATAGAGTCGTATTACTTTGAGGCCGTCCTATATTTAAGTTGTAAAAATAGCTTACCCCAAAGAGCGACAGAAAGTGAAAAGAGCAGATACCAAACCGTATGTAGAGAAATTGTCAGGAAATCCTCTTTTTCTGAAAACAAATGAAAATGCTATACTTCCGGAAAGTTATATACTATCATTGTTATACAGTTTTCTTAGTAATATAAAATAAATTATACACAGAAGTTCAACTTCAGTTGTTACGAAACATGCTGATTTACTCATCGATAAACCATTATTCTTGCATAGTTATGTGTGAACCTCCCAATAAACAAACACTCAAAATGTTCATAGTGATGTGTGAACAAACATTCAAGGTGTTCATAGTGATGTGTGAACCTCCGAGTGAACAAACATTCAAGGTGTTCATAGTGATGTGTGAACCTCCGAGTGAACAAACATTCAAGGTGTTCATAGTGATGTGTGAACCTCCTAATAAACAAACACTCAAAATGTTCATAGTGATGTGTGAACCTTGTTCACACATCACTATGAACATTTTGAGTGTTTGTTTATTGGGAGGTTCACACATCACTATGAACGTTTTGAGTGTTTGTTTATTGGGTACCCAATAAACAAACACTCAAGATGTTCATAATGATGTGTGAACCTCCCGATGAACAAGTACTCAAGATGTGCATAATTATGTTTGAGCCTTACGGGATCAATGATGGCCTCATCTTCTGAAGCCTGACTTCTAAAACTAAGTATAATCTCACATTCATCGCTTCAACATTGGTATCATTAAGTACTTGAAATTACATTTGTTCATATCTGTATATTTAAACACAGGTACATCTTACAAACCAGAAACTCAGACTTACCTAGTGGACTCCAGGACTCCAGTAAATGATCCAATAATTTTCCCGCCATTTGCTACTCCGCTCAAAAATAAAGAGAGAATGACTACCCACAGAATCCTAGATATTTGACACATTAACAAAATACAATTACAAACTCTACAAAACTGATATGTCCAATTTATATCACACATAATTGGAATGATAAAATATGGAAGACGTTTAGAAAAACTTTTCACACACCACCAAGAAATAAGAATAAGAAATGGTAATTTATCGGCGTACATCAATAGCTTTCGTAACGACTAGTGTCAGCTTACTACGGTTTCCATCAAGGACCGTAGAAGCTAAAAGTTGTGTCCAAGGAGACATGTAACTTACAAAGTTATCCTGGCTGTACTGTTACAATATGAATAGTAGACTTGCAGAGAAAAAAACAAAAACAAAACATGCCAGCTCCAGTAATAATAAACAGATTTACCCTCGTACACTTTATTGAATTCAATTTGCTTTTAAGTAATACATGGCCAAGTCCAGCGGTGTAAGTACGCCCCCGCAGTTGTAAACTTAAGAACTGCCGACAAAGGGAATAAACATAGAGTGCCCAATTACTTTTATGCGGGTGTGGGGCATCTCTTGTATTTACGTCACTGGCCAAGCCTATACACGTTTACTGACTTAACATTTTATTAGGACCACCTCCTAATATCACCCTTCAATTCAATAACAGGTAAGATTCGGTGTGACACAAGGCTCCAGAAGGTGTCATGCTCGAATACAGCATATTAGCTGAACAATATGGCGTGTAATTAATTAAAAAAGTGTTGGTAGAGGATTACATGGTTAATAATGAGACATTCAAACTCATCGCACAGTTGATGAACGGGATTGGGATTCCGTGATTATGTTAAGCCTAATAAGATGGCCGTCGTGCTATTCGAGTCAATTTCGGACATCACAAGTAGGATGGATTGTTGCAGAGGAAAATTTATGTACAAGCAACAGCCTCTTGTCCAACCAATGATAGTTGTATCTATTTGATGAATATATTGTGTTAGACCGTAGTCAACATTTTGCTGTTGGGCAAAATAATGTTGCACCAGTTACTCATCACATATTCCAAAATGATGTTGTGAACATTCACACTGGGATACAAAACACACAGTGACTTATATTTCAAGTAACGTTTACTGTATAGATTTAGCAGGACACTCAAAGTGACTCACTTATATATCAAGTAACGTTTTCTGTCTAGATTTAGCAGGACACTCAAAGTGACTCACTTATATATCAAGTAACGTTTTCTGTCTAGATTCTGCAGGACACTGTCCTGCTAAATCTATACAGTAAACGTTACTTGAAATATAAGTGAGTCACTTTGGAGTCACTCTGTCTACCATGCTGAATCTAAACAATAAATGTTACTTGAAATACAAGTGAGTCACTTTGAGTATCCTGCTAAATCTATACAGTAAACGTTACTTGAAATATAAGTGAGTCACTTTGAGTGTCCTGCAGAATCTAGACAGAAAACGTTACTTGATATATAAGTGAGTCACTTTGAGTTTCCTGCACAACACAGACAATTCCAGGCTAGTAATTAGAGTCACTCTGTCTACCATGCTGAATCTAAACAATAAATGTTACTTGAAATACAAGTCAACAGAAGGGCTATTATGCACACACACAATCTTTCTTTTTCCGGGTTATGAACTTAAAAATATGTAGGGGTGGATGTTATGGTAAGTAACACAAAAATCCTAACTTTCACACAATTTATTTATAACATAACATTTTATTACAGTATTCATTATTACCTCACCAAAGGTTTTGTATAAGCTTTAAGAACTCAGTATGTATATACTTAAAACATGGTATAACACTGTGTGATAGTCAGGGTGACTTTCTACGAAGAGGAAGTGGCCAAAGTAGTGGCCGTAAGGGTGTTTTCTGCTAGCCACTTTCAACACCTAGCTCTTAATGTCCGTCCACAGTGTTTCACGTGATTAATTAATTGACGGTAATTAGCCACAGAAGTGTCTTACGGGCCGAAGTTGAAAAGTCACGGGTCAAAGTAGGTATAACTCAATAAATGGTTCTTCATATCAGCCTTGTGGTAGCTGTTGGAGTAAAAGCTTCAGTTGAGTTTATGTAGTATCGGCCATTTTTTTAATTGCATTCCTCCACAGAGAGTGCTGGTACACTCTCCGAAATGTACAAAACGATCGTGTGTCCTCCCCCACACACTGTGTGTATGTTGTGTTATCCCATACAAAACGATCGTGTGTCCTCCCCCACACACTGTGTGTATGTTGTGTTATCCCATACAAAACGATCGTGTGTCCTCCCCCACACACTGTGTGTATGTTGTGTTATCCCATACAAAACGATCGTGTGTCCTCCCCCACACACTGTGTGTATGTTGTGTTATCCCATAACACACTTCTGGGGCCAATTACCATCAATTAATTAATAATGTGAAACATTGTGGCAGGACGTTAAGAGATGGGCGTTGAAAGCACCCCCTACCGTCACTAGTTTGGCCGCTACCTCTTCCTAAAAAGTCACCCTGACCATCACACAGTGTATACCATGTGTTAGTATTGTTACGTCTCCGTTTGTTAATTGATTTTTCCGTAACTTCGTTCCGACAAAATTTTAAC